CACCCCCCAACCCCATCCCCCCACCAAAACCAAAATTTTATTGCAGATTCGGGGAACTCTCGCTGAGCGCAGAACGACCCCCGGTTTCAAAAAAATAAAAATAAAAAAATCTGGGCGTTTTTTTGTCCTTCCAGGTTTACCCGAGCGGCCCCCCCTGGCCCAACCAGCTGGGCCCAGCCCGGCTGGGCGGCGTCCTCACTCAGCTAAAGAGTACATTTTTCCCCAATTGGTGGCCACTGGCCAGTTGATGAACCATTTTCTTTCAAGAGCCTTACATGGTTAGCGCCTAATATATATACCTTCGCCGGCATCTGCTGGTTTTCTCATAATGAAATGGTGGGACGTTTTGGGGATGCTGTTAATCTTGCTGGGAAGGCTCTCACGCTTTCATGTTCTCTCACTGCAGTTTGTGCAACTATTACCTTGATCCTATCGGTGGAGAATGATGGACGATGCAAGCGGGTCAAGACCTCCATCTCGGGTTAAGAGTGCAATATCGGAGTGCTTTGTCATTCTATGTGATTTTGGTGTGCAGATTAGGCTACCTTCTTCTCCCCAATACAACGTACGGTAATTATAGCTGTATTTGGGGTATCTCTCAGTCTAAACACAGCTATAATGACAGTATGGTGTACGTTGAACGTAGGACTAATTCCTTTGGAACAGTACTTGTGGCATGCTGGGCCCTGCCACACTGGGCCTGTGATATCCGGACATTGTTTCTGGCAGGCCCCTAGTCCACCTGGTCCCTTTTGGGCCCTAGGATGGCCCGAGAGGATGTCACCATCATAAGGGCCCTCGGTGAGTGTTCAGGCCGCCGTGTAGATATTTTGTCTGTTCTGAGTTCCTTTTATTTATTTGATTAAACTATTGCTCTTTTGTTTGCCGCACATTTTGTCGGTGCCAGTTCGCCAGTTTGCACTGTCCTGGTCCAATTGTCACTGTTTTGTTCGAATAGGTAGAGGCCTGTCCTGGTCGGACCTCTGGCGGATACTGCTTCACATTTTGGCCCAGCTTGTCTGTCTGTGGCTGGGCCTGTGTTCGTCTGTAGTGCCTACACCGGCTCTAGGCCCAGTTCCTACTGCTGGCCATCGGATTGGGCATGGGGACACACACAGGGACCCAGGCTACACATTTTTGGGCCGGTGTAGAGAGATACGACCATGGCCCAGCTCCTGAGCCATTGGATCTTCGAAGGATTGGATCACTTAGGAGGGAGGCCAAGTGGAGAGGACGACTCTCCGAGTAGTACTTAGTTACAGTACACAGCAGCATTCCTCGACCCCGAGTACAGGACACAAGGCGTGATCAGTGACTGGGAGATCCATGCCAACTGTGACATCTGGCTGTATATGTGGGCTCTACCGTAGTCCCCCGAATAGAACGTGGAGTCATCATCGATGTATGCAGGATGAAAGTTGCCCCAAATACAGCTATGATGACTGCATGTTTCTGGTTTTTACCTGTAGCTGAACACCGGTTGCCGCACAGCCCTAATGGATTTATCCACCACATCGTCCTACGAGGTAGGCACCCCCGAATTAGTGCTGATTGGGCGGACCGTGATACGCAGTCGGTTCAGTGGGCTCCAGTCCTACTGCTGAGGCAGCAAGTTGGTCCTGGGGGCACGCATAGGGACCCAGGCTATACATGTTTGGGCCTGGGTAGCGAGCTAGGACCATGGCGCAGCTCCTGAGACATCGGGCTCTGAGTTTCTCCACAGGGAAGGTTCTGTGCAGTGTCAATAATGAGAGTTCTTCTGGCCTAACTTACCCTCAATTAACAGCCCGATTCTTCGTGTGCTCGCATCAGCAAGCACTAATCTCTCTCGTAGACCAGTAGCTGACACGCCACTCTGATTCATTGGCACCATGGCACGTCGAAGGTGTGCCACATGAACAGTGAACGCCTCAACAACAGCTATTTCACCCAAGATATCATCTCTTCTCCCCCTTGATCGACTTCCTCCTGTACTCCATGCCTCCTCGTCTCCCTTTGAGGACTCCCTCATGGTGAACCATAAACCAGCACAGTTGATGCCAAGGATACTCCATACTCCGCCGCACGCTTTCGTAATACCTTCAATTGGCAACTGCATCCCGGGATGGTTTCTGTGTTGGAAATTCCTCCAAGATCGAGACTCTCTCTTGAGTGATTCAGATCGTGGACCACTGGATTCCCATTCGTCCGATCTGGTCTTACGGCGATATGAAATCCCCAGTTCCCGCACACTGGCTTCCAGGTAGCTCTGCTCCTTCGATTGCACGTCTGTGGGACATACCAAACATGAATTCAGCAAATTGAATCTGATGCAGGAACCATTGCTGATCCTGGGTTCCTCCTGAAGTCCTTGACTGCTGCTACCACTTGATTGTTTTCTGTAACCTGTTCTCAGAATGCCTGCTGACACAGTTTCACAAAACTGCATTACCCTCCTGATGAGCCTGCTGTGGACGACAAATCTCAAATTCTCTAGGTTGATCTCCAACGTAGCAGGTTTTTCTTCTTCTCCAGCCCTATGTGCAGTGCTGCGTCGGATGGTCTTAGATGCCTGCCAACGGATCACAGGTTTACTCTTTTCACTGTTTGCTCCAATGCAATCTTCTGGCGATGAGCCCACATATCGTACCAATTGCAGGCAATGAACAACGCCATCAGCTCTCAGCTGGGTTTCGCCCATATTGCTGAAGCCAGATGCCTTAGATATGCCCTTGTCTAGCCGCAAGCATAACATTTTCCCCTCCTTATCCTTTAAGTTCACTGCTAACTTACTTACGTCAACCTGAATATGGACTGAATATGAACAACCAGGCCGTTCACCCTTCCCACACACGTCTTCATTGGCTACAGATGATGTGCCTGGTGATCCAGTAATCCCGTTGTCCCCACACTTTCGCAATTTTGCCCGCTGAGTTATCAAACCTCCTAAGCCATTTGCATTGCCGTCACTAACTGGGGTTTCCAAGCATGCCCCATCTTCAATCTCGGCCGCATCTTTTGCAGATGCTTGAATGACCACATTCGTTTTACACTGCTGGTACAGTGATACATTCGCTCTAGGTAAGTTCTGGACTGGGGGCATGAGATCCCCAGGCGAACTCAATGCTGAAGCACAAATTTCATTCCCTGGCAGATTATCTTCTCCAACGAGTAATTCGTTGATAGAAGCTCCAGAGGAAAGGGACCCCTCCTCATTTTCAGCTCCTGTCATGCCTTTCACACCAGCAGAGCTAATCTTACTTCCCTCCCCAGCATCTCCCTTGTCGCTTTCAGATCCTATCACATCCCCGGAGGCCCTCTCATTCCCACTGTCTGAAAGCCTGCCCCCTGAGATGAGCACCTGAACAGAAAGTGAAAATGCAAGTGCAAAGACAACCACACTCTGATTCAGGTTCAGTTCCAGGCCACACAAGGATGCCTGAAGAGAAATATTACCAGACATGCGGTTGTGAGAGCTATGCTGAGCATGATAGTGTAAACAAAGAACATCCGTGGTCCGGTTCTGAATGTTAGACCCGATCTCAACACCAGCAGCCATATTACTCATAACATGTTCCTGTTCCCTAGAAACTGTTGCATAAACATTTTCCTGAGGAGAGCACCTTCGAGTCAATGGAAAAGTCCCGCTCGGAGACAGTTGACTGGCCTGCTCTGTGGAAACAGCCGCTGACCTGGCCCCGCTCACCAGGTTTGGTATGCACCCCATTGCTACAGAAAAACCTTGGCCAATATCATCCATCTGTCCGCTTTCCATCACCTCCATGATGCCGATAGTTGCACGCAGATCTTCATGCTTTACATGCAGAATGTACCTGATACAACAAACCAACAATAAGAGACGAAGCAGCCTCAAAACGGCAACTCAACTGGCACTGATCTCGGTAAAAATGCACAGAGCAGCTGCTTTAGCCACCAACTCATAAAATTTGCACCACTTTGCACTTGCTCACCCGGCCCAACGGCTTGTCCAATGATGCAACAAGTGCGCAATGATGATCTGTCTGTTTCGTTTTTCCCATTTCACTTATATACATATTGTCACATATCTCTCAACTAATGGAGCACACTTCGGAAAACAAATGAAGAAATAGCAGACAGGTTGGTCAACATGCAAACACTTATCCGTCAGGTTCAGGAGCCTGAACGTGAGCGCTTTAGCTAAGATCTTGTGGGGTAGGATCAGGAGAGATATCGGTCTGTAGTTCTGGACATCTTCCCAATCCCTTTCTCATAAAGAAGGCTTACTACGCTGCTGCTGAAAAATTCTCCCACACCTCCTCTTTCCCAGCTGTCTTGTAGAAGTTCATAAGAGGTCGTTCCTCAGCATAGGCCAAAACTTTCCCCATAATTGTTTTTAGCTGGATGCACACTCTAATCTTATGATTAGAGAGGACACCTTTGGCCGTGTTTTGTAAGAGCCCGGCCGGATCTATCTAATCATGTTTGCTCCCCATGCTTTCACACCTCAGTGTCAGTAGAGACCCAGAAAGCTGCCTTCGCTTTTGGTGTTCCTTCTAATATCTATGACTTTTATCTCTACACTAGAAATTCCAAAAGAAGACCGGGAATCCCTCCACATAGAATTGTTTTTTTAGTCCGTAAATCCCTGGGGTCTTGTTACTAATGTCTGAGCACACAAGTCCATTTCAACCATGGACAGGAGTTGGTCTAGTGCAGTGGCTTGTTCCACCGAGATTGTCCAATCGAGGTGTTGGAGCATCTTGGCTCTGGCTTCCTCGATACATGTTGGAGTCGGGGTAGAAGTTTCTGTTTGGGTATCGGTCCTGGTAGGAGGACTTTATATCCAGCATGCCTTAGCCGTCGGAGTGGACCTTTGTAGGTCATTCTCCTCTTTTGACGCTTCTATGGTGTTGGATCTGCTATTGGACAATGTGCCCACACTTAATGAAGCTTCTGACAATTGTTACATGCTGAGAGCCTACACACAGGCCCCTCACGGGACCCGAGGTTGGAATAGGGCCCCCAGGTCACGTCACCGCAACCTGAAGGCCCTATGGCATTTTTACTTGGGCCTGCATCAGAAAAACGCCAGCTTTAGATTATTTTTTTATTTTTTATTTTTTTATTGCTGCTGTTTTTCTAACGTGTGTGCTGTTGTCCGTTTGTAGGTACACGCTTTAGGGCCAGGGCCAGATTCAGGCCCAGAGGCTGAGCCTCTAAAAACGTTTGGACCTTTTTTGTTTTGTTTTCGGACAGATTTTGGACCATTCGGACCTGGACCGACGTTCAGGCCCGATGCATTCGCACAGGCCCTGAATCGGACCAGGTACCGAACAGGCCCAGTCCTGGGCAGGGCCTGGACGTCCGGTAGGGACCCAGGCAGGCCGTTTTAGGCCAAGGACTGAACCAAGTCCGAAGCCTGCGATCTGGACTGCGGATCGGACTTCGATCTGCACGGTCCAGAACGAAGGCCGTGGACTCACTGGGTCCGGCCCAGCGCTACTTAAGCTGGGCCAGCGCCCAGTTCTACACAGAGGACACAAGGAGAAACCCAGCGTTACGCTGGTTCAGGATTCGGCCTGCTGCGCTATTTTGGAGACCGCCGGCTGCGCTATTTTGAGGCTGCCGGCTGCGCTGTTCTTGAGCATCGTAGTACAGCGGTGGAGGAGTCCAGCGCCGGGGAGGTTAGCGGAGTTCAGAGTGAGAGAGAGAGAGAGAAGAGAGAGAGAGAGAGAGAGAGAGAGAGAGAGAGAGAGAGAGAGAGAGAGAGAGAAGAGAAGCTTACCTGTCGCGACCTACCAGCGCCATCCTGCAGTCAGCACCCAGGTAAGTAGGAACGGTAAGTAGGAACGGAAAGCGCCTAGCTTTCTTCTTCTTCTTCTTCTTCTTCTTCTTCTTCTCTTCTTCTTCTCTCCTTCCTCTTCTTCTCCTACTCCGACGGATTCTTTTTCTTCTTCTTCTTCTTTTTCTTCATCAGAGTAGAGATAGAGGTAACTGCAGACATTGTTTGGACACGGCATTCTGCCTTATTGGACACGACATTCAGATCGGACTTGTACTCTACATTGGGATTGAACTGTGTACGACATTCGGAAATCTCTCTCGCATGTCTATGGATCTCTCCCCATGTGTGTGAGCAGAAGCGCAATCTTTCTGATGTCTTGCCCTTCCGAAGTTTCTCTCTTTCATGTTTGTTTGTCCTTGTGTCCTTTGATTACTAAAACTTCTGCTGCAGTGTTTTCCCAGCCTATGATGATGATGATGTGAATGCATTGTTGTCGATTTCCCGTTGGTTTACTCTTTGCATTGGGCACATTGGCATCTTGTGAATGTTGCATCTATGCTGCTGGTTGTTGCCACTTTCATCATTGCTAGATCCTAGGCTTTCGGTGCATTTCACTTCCTGATATGCTACACAATGCAGTCAAGAAGAACATACAAACGACCATCCTGTTCTTCGTCTTTGAGAAAACATATGACCCTTGACTCGGCGTTTCTCAACGCAAGAATGGAAAGAATGGGAGTAGGCTCTAATTCCAAGAAATGGATAAGAATCAGTGTTGCATACCCCGACAGTCGGCGGCCCTTGACTGGTTGGCTGCCGACCAGGTCGGCTGGTCTGCACCTACCGGTCGGAGATCATCGGCACCTTGCAAAAAAAAACAAAAAAAAAACACCACCAACCCCCATACACCCCCCCAACACCCCC